ATGAGTGAGGGTGACTTAAATAGAATTAATGTTTTATTCAAAGGCTTGTTAGAGCTTAGACTATTAAGTTGGTGCATCGTTTTTGCAGTGCGAGGCATCATTAAAATTGAAAATTATAATATTTGTTGAATAACGAATGTATAGTCAATAGGACTGATGGCTGGGAAAATAACTTCGTCAACAACCGGCTTGTTTGTATTTTCTACATGCAAAACTTGATTTTTGATAAAAAAAAGACCCCCGACCGTTTCCGTAGCGACGCGAGGTGTATTTTTATTATTATTATCGTTATTATTATTAATATTCTGTAATACTGTTGATCGAATACTACGGTTTTTCGGTCTTTTAACGTTTACTTGTATAATTTAAATTAACTTGTGTATTTTTGTCATAAAATATTTTCTTAAATATTTTCATTTAGATTTCATTGAATTTTTTTTCATTCGAAAAACTTATATAAGTGTTAAACGACTGTGAATTTATTTTCCACATTTGAATCTATGAATAAATTTGTGAGAGAGCCACCGTGAAATGTTTATATGTACTTATGACCTATTTATATAGTATTTAAAGCGTCCAATTGCAATTGAATAATCAACATTGAACGACTCTTAACGGGGGGAGTGCGTGTGTGTTGAAAAAAAGAGTGATATTTATCTGTAATAAAATTTCGATTAGGTTTTTTTTTTTCAAGTATAATAATAAAGGAAATAAAATATGTACAATATATTTTGCTTTATGCTTGTTAAATTCGATAAAGATCGTGATGAGTTGAGATTAAAATAATAAAGTTGAATAAACGATATTTGGTATGAAATTTAATTTAAAATATAAAAAATACAGTCCTTACTACGTAATGGAAAAATGTATGACCCGTGTAAATTTTAATAAAGTCGAAAACGATATACGGTTATATTACGGTAGTAAAATTGTGATTGTAAAAAAAAAATCCTATTATTGTAAATGGTTTTCGTAAAATAAATAAATAATATTGATTGGCACTATGTCACGTGGGTAAATACAAATACATACACAATAGTTAAATAAGTGGAAAATATAAATCATATAAACTGGTTAGTAATAATTAGGTAAGTAAAACCCTTTATACTACTTTTTAGCCACACAAAATAATCCCGTGTGTTTACAGTTTTTAATTAATTTCAATTGTTCGGAAGTTTTTATCGAATTAATTGGTGCTACTTTAAATAGTTTTATTACTCTTGCCTTTTGCCCACACTGTTTTCTATTTATTATTTTTTAATACATTTTATAAATAACTTTCGTTCTCTAATATCATTGATTGCAACAATTCCCAGAACCCCATCAGTCGTTATTATCAACTTCATGGAATACCAAGTTTCAATGCTCATTTGGTGTTTGATTATAATTCTTCTACGGACAAAGAAAACAATAATATTATTCAATTATGGGAGTGAACTTTCTTTTTTTTTTTTTTTTTTGAAAGCTGAGTATAAAAAAATACTTTAGTATTTTTACCGTCTCCATTTGAAGTAAATATAGTTTTTCATCTTATTTATAATAACTTACCGTATCGCGTAGTGTTATTTTTCGTTTATAAAATGAGAAAAATCATTTTTAATAATAATTATGATTATTAAGTATATACGGTTGCTAAACAAATTCAAACAGATGAGTTAAAATAAATATATTTACTCATAAACTAATAATTCGAGAAATAATTGAATAAAATTACCCGATTTGATAGTCATTGCGAAAAAAAAAACCGCTTGTATCCGGGAAACATTAACCGAGCGGAAATGACGAGTCATAACTCGCCATTAGTATGATTTTATTTAATAATTTGTATAGATTATACGTGTATTTTTCCATTATTCGTTCGATCAGCGTGATTATATCCGTCAATAATTGTAACAATATTGTCATTCTCTAAACAAAAGGTTTTGATTTTTCTAATCTGGACGGTGTTTTCATATTCTGTGATTAATTAAATTTAAATTCATATTTCGATGGGTGCATTAATCAAGGGAAATGAAATGTGAAATATTTTGAAATTAATAATATATATATTTTTTTTTATTTACACCTAAACACGTAGAAGTGCATATTTAAGGTACAGCTGATCGACATAATAATGTAATGTATCTGTTCATGTATTTTTGTACATGTGATCGAATCTAAATCAGTTTAATGCACATAAATGTATTATTTTGCTTCGATTGCACCTGTTATGGTAAAGTCCTTCACATTATCTTATTTTTACACACAAATAATACAGTATTGGAAATGCGAAACATATTGATTATCACGAAACGTCATTTATAAAATCATTCTATGTAATGCTCAGTCAATGGGTTCAGTCAACAAGAACCAGAATTACTAAATTTTATTATAGGCAATAAAATGGATATAATATTAATTTATAAAAAACGATATAATCAAAATTCTAAACATTGTTTTTTCCCGACACAGTATATTATATGCTGGTACCACTGTTTTTATCTCATCTAAAATCCAACATCGTCATCTTTCCCTTCTCCAAAACCTCACCATTCAAGCGTATTCCAACTACTAAAATGACCATATGATGTCCTCCTAATCCATATATGCCTCAAGAACTATTAAATACATTTTTTTCCTTTTTAGGGTGTACATACGTTGCTGGGAAGAATTTTAATGCAAATCACCTGTTATTGGGTAGTCGCATTGAAAACTCCAGAGGTCGTTTATTCTACAATATTATACATGGATTTAAATGTAAAGTTATAACTCCGAGCAACTCCACTTATTGGCCAACACACTAGATAGACGTCTAACATGTTGAATTAATTTATTATAACAATTCTTAATCATATAACCTACAGTATAAACATTGTATATTATCACACACTAATTCTTCTCAAAATTATGGAATAACCAATTCTCACTCTCCAACGTTATTCCCTATTTAATTTTTTCATACCTAGAAAACCGTTACTTTTCTGTATATCAAGGAAATTATTTTCTTTCTTTTGTATGTCCAAGTAGACGTAACCTAAAGAAGTGATTTTTCTCCAAATATCTTGAATATCTTTACGTCCAATATTTCTCAAACTGATGACACTATTTTAACTACTTACATTGATCATACAATAACACTGTCCACTAATACTGATCCCGTTAAAGCATCTCTAGCATTCCAGTATCACTGAAACCTAAATGAAAATTGCACAATATAATTAAAAATAAAAATAAATACCAAAAATTACATTTATGTTCCTTTCATTATTCACAAAAAAAATAATAATAATAATAACCAGTTCTAATATTCTAAGGAATTGATATTCCGTCACAAACACATGTCAAATATCTCGATAACGTTTTGGACAAAATACTTACCAATACTCATCTCGAAACAAAAAAAAATTATTAAATATAAGACTACACCAACATTTATTTATTCAATTTTACCATAACATTCTACAACAATTCTACTTTAGATTATCTTTCCATTCCAACCTACTCATCTCAAATCAATATTTTCTTACAATTCCGTACAACCCTCCGCAATGTTTTAAAAGACGTATGATCTCCTTGATCTAAGCGCATAATCCAAAACCAAAAATATTACGGTTCTATCACTGAATAGTTTCCCTTTACACTAGTCTCTGTTTGTTATGATATAATATTGTTATATTGTTTCAGCAAATTTGCTTATTGTGCAAAAAATGTAAAGATAGTAAATGTTATTTAAAAAAAAACAAGTTATACTTCAACTATACTTATCACGTTTAGATCTATCGCTTTATCTTATTCTTACACTCAAATAATATAGTATTAGGAATGCGAAACATTTCAATAATTACAAAACGTCATTTATCGAGTTTTGTATAAAAGTTAAATTAATCACAATTTTTGACGTAATGAAAAAATAAACAAAACAATAAGGGAGCTTGAAAATTTTGAATGACACTTTATTTGTTGTTTCAAGAAAATCGATTATAATGTTTAATAGGTTAAATATAAAATATATATATATATATATATATATATATATATATATATATATATCGAAACTTATGTATCAAGATCGGGCAGTCTCAGCAAACAATATTTTTCAAGAGCTTAATCGTGTTTTAAAAGTTAAAAGCTTTCGCTAATAATTTGAGTGATGCGAAGATTTCGCTGTAAAAGAAATCCTCCTACTGTCAATCTAATATTTTAGTCTCGTAACATATTGAAAATCCTGCGCACGCACGCACGCACGCGTGGTCTTTTCGTCGGGTAAAATAATAACAACAAGGTACATGGTATCGTTAAAAATGTTGTTTTATGCACTCGTATCGATGTTTTAAGCAATAAAAAACCCTTGAAAATGGTTCGCCCAGTGCTTCCGTTTTCCAGTCGTTTTCCATCCGAAAACGTGATACGTGTACTGACGATCGGACGTGGGGAGCGGGCGACTGCCGAAAAATAACGGTTCGTCGGAAAAGTCTCGGTTCCGAGGACCGGAACGTGCCGCCGGACGACAGGATCAACAGTTCTCCAGGTCGGGAACGCGTGACGCGAATCACCCGATGGATGTCGTCCGACAAACGATCGTCGCGCGGTGGCCTCATAACCGCGAGATGAAACGATGGGATCACGTGCCCATACCGAAAACGTTCGTCCGGACAAGTGCATGACGTACAAACATTTATCAGCTTATACATGGATACGGGCGTATAAACGTCCGTGACGAGAGAGCATTGCTCACCGAACGCACATCGCGGCGATTTATGCGGTCGCGCGGCGAAGACGATTCTTTTCCCGCTGTGAATTATTACCGTACGGCACACGACTGCGGTAATAGGCGGTGCACCGCGTCCGAAATCGCGTGTCACGCGTCGGCGTGGGTCTTGTGTTCGTACGACGAATATATTGTCTTGACCCGCTACAAACGCTCGTAAAACCCAATGCACATACGATCCCCGCGCGTTTTTCATTCATATTTCGCGTGTACGTGTTTTTGATTTTTTTTTTTTTTACCGCGTTTTCCGCAGGTTCTTTGCGCACGATAAAGGACATATCCATCAGGGAGATGCTTCCGGACATCAAATACTACATGACGTACGAAGGATCGACTACTCACCCCGGTTGCTGGGAGACGACCGTATGGATAGTGCTGAACAAACCCATTTACATAACCAGACGCGAGGTGAGTACGTCGCCGCGGTAATGGAAACATGACGGGACGCGATTAATAAATTTTCCAGCGGCGCCAAGGACACGCGCTGGCGACGCACATTTGTTTCGCGATACCCGTGTCCCCGACCCTTCCACGTCCTTATGGTTCGCCGATTCCCATTAAAACCGACACTTTAGAATATTAATCAACAGGCCCTTTCGCTTGTTTTTTTTTCGCACCCTCGAGCCCCGCAAACACGCGTTTCGACATCATGTATACATGCATGATGATATGTCCTGTATTCGTTGTGAACCGAATACGCGTAAAAAGATGTATTGTTATTTTTACTATTAATATTATCATTTTGATCAAGTGTAAATAGTTAACCGTTGTTGTTTTTTCAGATGTATCATCTGAGAAAACTGTCTCAAGGTTCGGTGGAACACCCGAAAGCTCCTTTAGGAAACAACTCGAGACCGACACAAGACCTCCGTGAACGGACTGTCAGGACGAATATCAATTTCGCGCAGAGAACAGAATCTGATCCACAGGTAAGATACCCTACGATGATCGTTCGAAAACCACTATGTCGTCGAAAAATACAGAGTTAGAATAACACACGAAGAGCATAAAGTGTACCAGTTATTATCAAAATTTCCTTTTTAGATATCAGTTTCTTCCAAGATTAAAATGCCTCATTTCCCCTCCATCTAATACACTAGTCACCTTAAACATAATATTAAACATCATAACCAAAACAATTTTTTTTTAAAATTAGTGAACTAATAATGAAAATAAAAATAATGCATACAGTAAAAAAATAATCCAATAAAATATTTACTATTCTGATGCTGTGTTATGGAAAATTCTCATTTCTGTAATTTCTGTAAGTTAATTATTTTTAAAGCTTAATGAACCTCAGAAATTTATTTTTCTACTGGTAGAAGTATTTTTTTTCTCAAATGATACATTTTTATACGAATGGAGTTGACACCTTATACGACGAACTAATATTCGAATAATATTATTGTAATATAAAATAAAAGGGATCTCTATAGCTTACTACTTCGATGTTTGTTTGCTATAGATCGAGGGCGTAATTTTCGTTATTTCTTTATGAATAATTACACGCACAGTAATAATAGGTATTGGAGATCACAGACGATCCTTGCAGATATATCATGTACGTGCGTATATTTTTCAGGAACGCATCGCGGTGAATCGACCGCTATTCAATTTAATAGGGATCGCAATATACGCAATATAGATGAGTAGCAGGATGCGTTACACGCGATCGATGTTATGATTATAATAACGTACCAAGTTATAGTCGGTAAACATTGTAAAACGTCGATGACGCGTATTTCAAACATTTTACTTGTACCGAAGAAACTACACAGTGTTTAAGTTCGCATAGACCGCATCCCCGCGTTCTTCCTTCTATCCGTCCACTCACATTTACTCTATCTCTTTGATTCACTTTGTCTCTAACCCTGTCTGATTGAAGTAAATGTATCGCTGCTACGAAGATGCAAACAATAATAATAATTTTTCTAGTGTTTACCTTCTCTAATAATGATATATATATATATTGAACACGATACACGCGCGTATCATAACATATCGCTGAAATTTCAGTGGATGAGTGGAATATGTGTAGTGTACAGAGTACATAGATATTGGGTATAAATATCCAAAGAAAAAAATTCCTCTGAAAAAATATCCAAAGATAAAAATCCAAGGACCTGGTATCAAAATAAAAAAAAATAGAATGTATATTGATAGGTCGTAAAGAAACAGAAAAACATTTTTTAATTTATATTCGTGTTCATAGTTATAATTCACATAATTCTTATAAGATTTAATTTGTAAGTACAATAATAACCTATTTAAAACTATATAGGTAGCTATAATGATTGTTAGTAAATTAATTACGTATATCTTCATATAAATCATTTAAAAATAATAAAAAAAAAAAAAGTAATTTTTACATAACATAACAATAATGTAAAATATCAACCGTTCAACACGATACCATGACGTGGGCCTTTACCGCGAAAACCGTAATTACGTGTTTAACGGACTGCTTTACAGCAATTATCGCATTATATGGTAAATTTAAACCGTGGAAAACGGATTTTGGATTGCTCATCCTGTTTGTAGCACATCGTTATGTTCCTAAGATTTTTTACTGTTGGTTTTTATGTCATCGGATATTTTTATTTATTTTCGGTACAGATTTTTTTTTTTTTTGTCCTCGGGTATTTCATCTTGGATCCGCGTACATAATAATGTAATGTGTACACGCGAAGAGCACGCCATGTGTTATGTACGTCGTATCATACAATATACGTTTCGTGTGCCGACGACCGAATGCCATTAGCGTTGAATTTATACACAAAGCCCGCGTGAAGATCGGATATCTGTAAAAGCTTCGGCGACGGTGTCGTTCGCGTCGCACGTGATGGCTGCGGCAGCGGCGGCGGTTATCGTTTTATTGAAATGCGCTCCGCCGCCGCCGTCAATGTGACTGCGTTGCAGCTGTAGTTCTGAAATAATATTTATTCACGCATATTATAATACACGCCACCATTACACTCGAATCGCGTAATTCAAAAGCCATTTCACGTGTATTGTATGTAATCGTACGAAAAAAAAATATATGTACTGCACACAAGTACGCACGCACGCACGTGTGCACATACTGGCGAATAATCGAAGGCTTTTAAAAAATAAAACACACATAACAATACAACAAATCATTTTGCCGTTCGGAATATTATTATTTAATACGGTGTCGATTTCATCGTATGCAATGTCGTTAAAAATCATTTGTCATGATAAAAAAAAATCTGATTTTTATTATTTCTTCTTCAGTCTTATTAGATACATTTAATAAGTTCATAATATGCTCAACTCCACCATTGTAATACAAATATTGCAAGCGGAATTTTATTGGTATACAATTATTTCAATATGATCCAAATGGGTGTCATTACATTTTTTTTTTATGTGCAAATAACCGTCTTACAATATTTTGAATATAATTTACTTTTATTATTTACCCAATTAAATATAGTATACATCAGTTGTCAGATATGTTTATATGCTACGCCGACTTCGTAATCTCGGTAATTTCATTAAATGGAAAATTTCACGAATTCGGCGTGATACATTTTTTCGGTTTGTAAACGATTTCCGTTCATAGATTTTTTGTATTAGTTGAATACAAATTCAAAGCAAATTTTTGTTGTTGTTCATAAGTTTATAAATGTGAAAATTGAAAATATTATCTACCATATAAATATAAATTTAGAAATATTACGGATTTGATTTTGAATTTTTATTATGTTATGTCTTAAGTTTAAATTTAATCAAGGTGGATATGATATTACATTATACGAGCAAATATTTCCTTCTTTAAAGTTAATTTAAACGTCACATTTTTTTTAGAACAAATTTAAATTTTATAAACAAAAAATATGTTTTGATATTATTCCTGGAAACAGATTTAATATTTATAAATAATTTTATATCTATAGTATATATTTATACCTATACCTACCTACCTAACCACACCTAAGTCGACTTTTTAGTTTTTCACTCTTGCCGTCGCGGTAGAAAACTTTATACTATAAGTTTTTCCGACACTTAATCGGATCAACGTTTTTTCAACATATTACATCCAAATAAATAATATATTGTTTATTTTTACTTTTATCTTTTATATATTTATTATTATTATAATCCAGGGTCTCGAAACTTTGCATTTTTCTTAATCACCTAATCTATGGTCGTTTACTTGGAAAAAATATTATACCCCATCACGCCTTGGATCTAAAAAAATTATTAAAGATTTATCATTTGCTTCGCATTTTTCGTAACGTTTTCTATTATTATTTTTCCAGTAAAATACAATTTTTTTACATTTTGTGATAATATGGTAAACATTTTCACGTCGTAATCTGTATGACGCAGTTCATAGGAATGTAATGATCATTTGTATGGCAGTTTGTAAAATATCAAAAATTGGCATGTTTGCGACTTTTATAGCGACGCCATAGGTGGTTATGGAATGTATTAAAAATATCCCACAATATGTTTAATTATTTATATTTGATTTCAAATCTTCGTACATAATGTAATAATAATAGTGTAATAATTAATCATAGTTTGTCGGTCGCTTAAAAACAAATATTATTATCGTAGATCAAATTTTACGTAATATTTTTGTTTTTCTAAAAAGTACTTCATGCATTAAATATTGTTTCGACATTAAATATTTACATCTACTGAAAATCTAAGTTTATATCCTAGTCTCAAAACTAGCTAATGTAAAGAACATTTTACTTAATTATATTAAGACATCTGTCTCCCTCTCTCTCCCTCTCTCTCTCTCTCTCTTTCTATATGTCTATTATTTTCTTTCTCTATCTTCCCTCTCTTCCAATTTCCCTTTTTCTTATGCGGTTGCTATAATTTTTAAATGTTTCATGTTGTCTAATACACAACATGTACGTATTAAAATTCAAAAGTTTATTAGACGTAAACATTATACATTTCAAAACGCACGGTTATGTTATACAATTCATGTTCCTCGACTTTTCAGTTTAATATCTCGTTTTTTAATCTTAACTCCACATTTTCACTTAATGTTTCGTTAAATATATTTCGGTTACCTGAAAAACGAATTATTTCATTTGCGTGTTTTTAATTAAATGCGCTCTAAAAATACCGTATTTACTTTTTAAAACTTCGAATTGAATCTTTAGCTAATTAAAATTACCAACCGATGTACCCACAAAAATAATTACTATCGGAGTATATGGGACGAGTTAAATTAACCCGTATATAAATTATTTGTAATTATATAGAATTAAAAATCTAGATACAAAAAAATACTCTCTTAACGATACTGTAATAAAAATGTTAACTGTTTTGTTTTATCGACTGTAGTCATTTCCCTTTTTCTTGACATACAAATTAAGAATATAATCGCATTATTGCACGTGCATTTATAGTTTTCGGTTACAGAATACTATTTCGAATTAAAATTGAGATGTTTTTTAAATTTATAATAGCAAATGTTAATTGCCGAAATTATTATATCATATTATTATACTATCATTCCAACCATAACGCGTACAGAAATGATTAAAATATACAAAAAAAAACATAATCGTTATGATTTTGAGTGAGGAATGTGTTATTTTTACTCAAATATATTATCCTTCTAACCGAGTCCACGTGATCCTTTTTGAATTCACACAATAAAATATTTATAATCCAAACAGACCGTAAATAAGTAATTTTTCTGGTGCTCGTAACGTTTTCAGATTAGTTAGTATACGCTTCAATCGATTATAGAACAATGAAATACTATACGTTGAGCGAACGAGTGATTAATCTTGACTGTGATTTTTTAGAGCTGTAATAAATAATCAAAATATTAACAGGTAGGAATTTTGAGATGCGATTGTATACTATAATAAAGCTTTTACAGCAAATCGGCTAAGCAGCAACCAAGCAAATTAGCTCTGTAGACTTATTGAGCTTTTCCATTCCGGCGTCAGTGGGATGTTTACCTTGGAAACTTTACACTGCGTGATTTACATGATTCATGCTCATAGATATTGCCTAAATAACTGCTAACATTACACATTATTCTAAACAGTGATCAAGTCGTAGCGGTGTAATAGATACTTACGTGTATAAATGTACGCATAACTGTACCGTTGTAATTCTGAGTAGTGAAAAATTTTTATCGATTATTTTTTATTTCGATATTCTAAAAAACGCAATTGTAATCGTATATTATATTTTTTTTTTCGCATGATAATTGATTAAAATACGCCTTAAAAACTCGTTTTAATTTCTTTTGTCAGTGCAAACTTATATTTGATTTTCCTAGATACTAAATGCAAAACCGATCAAATATCGTTATAATCACGTTTATTATTATGAATATATATCTATACGTTTACTGAATATTCTAAAAAAACATTTGAAATTTCAATGTTAATGATGTAACTACAACAATTTTGTTCGTAACCTATTGGTGCACTTTTAATTATTGTTGCTCTAATTGTATTTAATTTTAATTTGTTTTCTATTTTCATATTTGGTTTATATTAGATTACAGATAATTAACTGCAGCGATAAAATATTAATTTTTTTTATTGAGGATAAAATGCACTGTTCATTTATATTAATTTAGATATACATATGAATGAAAATAACATTAAAATACTTGTAGAAGAAGTCACCCATTGGTAACATCATCATCACTTGAATTTGAGATAATTAAGTAAGAAGATCACGTTTCCAATAACAATTTAGCTCGCAAAGTGGTTTATCGAGAATCTTAGGGGTAGCCATATTTTTGATGAGATGATTAGTGTATTTGAGTTTGTTCGAGTTTAAAATAGAATCGATCGTAGAGGAGTTTGGGGAAATCATAGAAGGTTTGGATTTATAACTTTATATATTTATAATAGAGTGAAATATTGGTCACGTACCATGGAACATCGGTTAGGCCATGGAAAGCTATATTTTGGAAGAACTGTATTAGACGAATGCTGGAGGATTATTTATACATTTACAGTAATTTATAAGTGGTGCTGTGTTGGTTTAGTATATTTTCTCATTGTTACGTGATCGCATAAATCGTTTAAAAAATATGAAAATATTTACATTCACCATTAATATGCTGTTCTTAATCATAATACAAGAACTACAATTATTTTCTACCTGAATATTTATACAAAACTATAAAGTTGTTTATTCGTGTACACATATATTTTAAAATGTAGGTACATAGTATTTCCACAACATATTAAAATCATGATATTAAAAAAAATTCTAATAATCCATTATGAAAGATTATGTCTAAACATCCAAACTGTGCCTGGCATTTTTTTATATAACATTGAATGGTTGGTGCATAAATGGATTCACCGTTATTATAATTTGTGACTGGCTTTGTACCTGAAGTTGTTTTAACACCAAGAAAATTTACCATATTTTCACAGCTGTGGAACTATCTCCAAATAATTGGTATAATTTTCTTATTTGAATTATTAATCATACACAGATAATCATTTTGTTAAAAAATAACTTATGCGCTGTTTACCATACGTTTTCGTTCATTCGGAAATGAGTGTGGTGTACAACACGATTTATAATCGTTTTCAGATGTTATAGGTAATATTATTATATTATAACTTTTGATTATCTAAACGCCCATAACTATATTATCCAGGTAGTCTTTTTGTATTCTATCTGTGATTGACAAGCTCATCTATATGTGACCTATACCAAAATTGCAAATATCTAACGCATCCAAAGAATGTACAGCCCTTAAGTTTTATTACAATAAAATATCACATGACATAAATAGCTTTTGAATAGTACATTGTATAGTAAACAAAAATATATAAAAACTACAGAAACCTTTTTAAAAGTTATTAAAAATAAGCTACATAACATCCATAACTTATTTTTTAAATATGAAAAACGTAAAGGAAAACGAGTTTAATATGAACGGTATATGCACAGTTCCTTGAACAAAATTAATAATAAAGACGTATTTAAATATTCTATATTTTATAAGTACAAGAATAAAAACTACATTACTATGTTCGTATATGTGTATTGTACTCGTAGTAATGGTATGTATATGATCAAAATGTTTTTATTACACTCAAATAGTACAAAAAACCATTGTCAGTAGGTATTATCTGAATTACTGTTTCATGAATAGTTCAGATGATATATCGCCATCATTCCGATATAAAGAAACATGTTATTGGAATAAACCCCCTAAAGCAATATGTATAGATACTTCTATGAAAACTTTGAAATCCAAATAGGAAAATAAGTTTAAAATTTTATTTTCTAAAGTATTTAACACGGTTCGAGTCCAAAACTTAATTAGTTATTATTTATATCTTTTTTCTAATTTTTTATTTATCATTGTTCTTTTTATTCTTTCGAAAAGATGAAGTGGTACCCACTTAACAGGTTTATGTGTTGGTACATCATAGGCACTTTGAATATATTTATATAATTTTTTTGTGAATACAGCTGTTATTTTATCGTTAGCTGTTTTTTTTTTCTAATATTTAAATGTTGATTTTAATTGATGAAGTCGATTGTTCGAGTTGTAAAAACGTAGCATTTTAGACAATTAGCAGACAAAACTGAAAATTAAAGATTAAATACTGTTAGTATTAGAGTTTAGAAAATTTGCGATTGTAATTGCATTGAAAACTAGATTTCAAAAAATTAATCAATACCTATTTAGTAGTGAAAAGTAAATACACCAAATGAGTTTAGTGTACATTAAATAATTATTGTAGTCATAAATATTATTATAGTGATGGACATAGGCACAAAATATTGCAATGATAAACTTACGATGTGATACATACCTAAGTTTATTTACACTAATAAAAATTTCAATTTATACTAGTGACCATTCCTATATCAGCTTAGAATAGTGCGTTCGACATATTACGTGTATCCACTAAAATCTATTTACGGTTGTTGCATGGTATTTTCACTGGTTAGGACGATGGACGTATATATACACACAATTTTCTAAACGTATATAAAATAATAACAACTTTACTTATAAATCTTATGTTGAAAGGGCACTTTCTCTGTTTTATTAGTTCATAAGCAACACGAAATCTTTAAGCATAACAGTAAAGTTTTTCCTAAGTAATATTTGAAAATCATGCAGTGGAAAACAAAAGTTTTTGTGTTTCGACATTTTTTTCAACGTATAATTGTATGTAAAAGAGTATGTAAATGTTTTATAACTACTTTATAAGTAAGTAGAATATAATATAGTGTCTCGTTTAAAAAAAAAAAAAAAAACCTATTAACCTAACCCACTTATATTCTTAGAACATTATTCAACAACTGTAGAATTAATGTAAAACATGTAACAGTGGCCAGTATTTGAGAAAATTTTTAAAAATTTAAATTCAAAGTGTAACTTTTGATACTCGATACCAAATTAGAAGGAATTTGATCAGTATCTTACATCGTTATATCCCCTTTCACTGTTTACGAAGATTTGTTTTGTATATCTGAATAATGGTGTTACTGATCACTATATCAATTATACATTTAAATAAATTATTATGTATAAAAAATCAATAATCATAACAAAACAGTATTCTAAGAATCGATGCCAAATAAATTCATTACGACCAAAGTAAAAATTACATCTGGCATGATATTACCACCATAATATCTTACAAAACTATGATGTAATGATGTGTTGACATTTTCACGTTGACTTTTGAGCAAATCGTGTACTACTTAAAGATTTATTTGTATATATATATATATATATACATTGAAAGAGTATTAAGAATATATATTTTTTATATCTATTGAAAAACATGTTCAAATATAACATAGTATTCGTGCACATGCACACACTTATTTTTCTTAAACTCGTACTGTAATAAATGCATGTGGCATTACCACACGCATACACACCGTGCAAATATCCACGGACATACTTTTTCATGGGTGGTAAATAAATGGTATTTATACATTGTATTTTCTCTTTTTTGCGTAAAACCAACGCAAATATTCGATGACAACGTCGATTCTATTATTGACGTGCATGCAAGACTGCGGCGTGCGCTTGCATCCGTACGATGTATGCGTGGCACTCGAAAAATCGGGATGGTGCAACCGGCGAAGGATCCGATAGTTTATAGAAGGTCGGCATGCTGCATATCGGTTATTTACAATAACATTATCGTGACCCTGCCGTGGTGCAGACATCTCTTGAGTGCATAAAATAATAATGATAATTATAATAACAACAACAACACAATAATAATATTAACGTGAGGAGTGCGGAGAAATCGAAACTTTAGACTACCTGCCGACGTATAGTTGAGACCCCTAATACCTACCCGCTAATTAATATACGTATTACGCGAATGGATTTTGAGTAATCGAATTAGGGCTACGCGGTACTCATACAATTGTTATGTGTTTCAGGGTAAGACTTGCAAGTTGAACATGCACAAAAATATGTACTACAAAGGTGAGTGAACAAAATATATTTTCAACATCGTATATCATTATTATTACCGTACACGAACGGTACAAGACGAAGTAGTTTAGTTTAGTTTAGTTTAGTATTTCGTTTTGCTATTCCGTCATCGAAAACAAGTGCGCTAAAATATTATAGAATATTACTTATATTATAGGGCTGTAAACGCGTTCATAATACAATGTCACAACGCATTGAAATTACAGTACTTGCCCAGAACGTGCTTTTATACTTACAAAGTAGCGCTAAACCCCCCTAACAAGTGTTATTAAAACTATAGCTTAAATGGGGTGGGTCGTCCTCGGGGCTTAACCCCAAATAGTTATTAGGACCTTGGGGCTGCTTATATAATGTAGATAATATCATAAAGTAATATTATAATAGAATAATAATAACCATCACATTTTTAACAACAGATCCATAGGTGTAACTTGAAAATTTATTAGGGGGGAGGGGCAAAAATATAATTATAATTATAATATATAATTATAATATAATTACATATCTAACGAAAGGGGTGTTCGAGGATAAACAACGCTTTACTACCTACATATAATTATATAAAATTATTTATTTTCTAACATTTTGTTAGATAAGTGAAAATATAAAATAAAGATTTAAAAAAAAAAAAAAATGTAATAATTATTATAACCAGCTGTTTTGTACTTATTTTAAAACAAGGTATGTTAAATATCAGTGGGGGCACTACTCTTCCTAATTTATTCTAGGGGGAAATTCCCCCCCTTTTACCTTCCAGTTTACGCCTATGAACAAATCATTTTAACAATAAAACTATTATAACCTAGTATTTATTTATTATTACACTGACAAGTGCCATTATTGGTGGGTGGTACCTTCTGAAAATAAATTTGACAATAGTAGACTTTTTTAGAGCTCAGCACCACTGTACCTATATATATATATATACGTAAATATTCCTAAATTATATTCTCATATTTATCAATGGACGTATCGTACTATGTATTTTTATTGCATTTTGGTTTACATACCAACCTATTAAATACAATTTTATTACATACAAATAAGGTATTTCTGTTTCTATTCCAAAATAAAATAAAATCATTTGCAATTAATTACTATTAAGCATAAATTTTTATTGGGATTCAAATTGAGTAAATAAATTTAATTCCATATGTATTAAAAATGTTTGTTTGCTTATCTTTTTTTTTTAAACTTTTAGTCGTTGTATACTGCAATTTGATACCGTGAAAATTATAATAGTATTAACTGTACAGAAGTCTATACAGAACTCATTAAATGTATTAACTAATTTCATGCATTATAACAGGTTTAGATATCTAGAATCGGGAAGGGAAACTTTATTTGATTACTTCTTAATCTATGATCGTCGTGTTGTGTAAAAAATGTCACTTATTACGTTGCGATCTGTTATGGCTATTCAAGTGCAGGGCCCGTCCGTCGCATTTGCACACATCACTGACTACGATACTTTTATTTTGTAATGACCACCATACATATGGTTTTTTATTTTTTATTATTATACGCAGTGGCGTGATGACGGGTGTTTAGTCTAATGCAATTACGGCAACCCTAAAAATGTGCGGAAAGAATAGATCCCAAAACTAGATACCAACTAGGGATGAAATTCGAAGATCTAAATTTTCCGAATATCCGGAATTTCATCATATTTTTTACAAAAGATTTGCTGAAGTATCCGGATTTGTTAATTTGTTTTTTGTATGATTTATAATAATTTTTATGTCTATTAAAATAAATTATTTTATTTTATTGTAATTGAAATTTAGCAATAAATTAATATTATGTTTTATGAATTAGAGTATACGTATCATTACTCCAACAATTTTTCTAATATGAGTTATCAAACAAGTTATTAAATTGTATATATATTATATATTATATACCTCGATTATTTACATAAATCATGATTGAACATCCAATTAATTTATCTTTGATGCATAACCTTAATTAAATTTATGTGAATATAAAAATGAGTCATTGAACAGCAAAATTGAATGGAATAATCCAGATAATCCATAAAATCCGGAAATGCCCACCACTAGTACCAAAAACTTCCTATTTTACTCGTAGTAGTAGATCAATAAGTGATCATCATCATTTACACCTGTTTACAATTACAACTGTGTTCCGAGTTTGAGGAAAGCACCACGCTATTCTTGTAAGAGCGGGCGGGCGAATGGGGTGGTTTTTTATAATCGTGTCAGGGTTTGAGGTTTTTTCGCCACGCTACTAATCGTATAGCGTATAGAGGTGAAAGAAGAGTAGGAATGATCATCTGGTAACACATATACCACTCGAAAGCCGGGAAATTTGATTTTCCCACATCGGGACGTACTGCCACATCCGATGTTACACATCATCGTTTTTGCTGTCGTTGTTCTTTTACGAATGCGGCTAATGAATTATCCGATCGAGCAAAACGAGTCCACCCGATAGTTTCGTAATCGCGGACGGTTTGCCGGTGTAATTTACGGTCGCGAGCAAGTTCTTACGAACCCGGTCTAACGTCACCTCACGTTCACGCTCGCGTGCGTATAAATCGTTAAACTAAACTTGACCAACCTAAGCCGTACACACACACGCTAAGTCTCGTCGTCACCACGCGAAAACCGTATCGGTCAGTCCTCCGGCAGTGGCAACTGTCTTGCGCGTGAGCACAGCGTACCTGTGCACGAACGAGTGTGGGCAAAGTTTCGACTTAAGCCGTCGCCGGTGAGATTTATTACGTTTCGGCTTATGCAGGATCATCGCTCGCGACGGACTTCGGAGTGACGGTACACCCGTGCAACGGACTTATCGGCGCTGCCGCCTCATACCCGTCGCGCAAACCCTACGCGCAACCCCTCTGTTTAGCCCTCGGCGAACGCGTAATGACAAGCGTAACCCGTTCGCGCTGCTTTAACCCGTTATCTCTAGCCTCGCCGAGATAACCGACAGCTGGATATTCGTGCGCGCGAAACAAATAGTGGGCAAATCATCGTGTCAGCCGTCCGGCTGATCCGTTCCCGCGAAAACCACCCCTAACCACCCTCGCGCTGGCGATAACGCGTTTCACCGCGGCTTCGTAAGTCGTAAGAGATGAACATCTCGCACGTCCCAGTATTGTAACTGCTCGAACGTTATTGTTCCATGACCGTTGTGCGCTAGGAATAGAAACAATATTCGAATGGAAAAGGATATGTCTGCGAGTGTGATTCACGTTAAGCGTATAAAATTCAATACGATTTATGAAGATTTTCGGTTTAATCATCTGTGAAATCTTAAGAATTATACGTTGATCGATTGGAACGCGTAGCGCGAGAGAATCGATTACTTTTACGATAATCTGTAGAATTACATTACAGAAATAATACATTCAGATTTTTGGGATGACGATTCAACATTTATAACACCGCAGTGTAGTAGAAACATACATGTACATAAAATTGATAAGCTCTAAAGAGAAATTATACACCCTTTTCTTATTTCCCAATTAATTACATCCTTGTCGGGTACTCGTAAATCCAAGATATAATATTATTCCTGTACCGACTAAAATGCGTTTTTGTTTTATATTTTGAATACGCGTATTTGTCGGTTCATCTGTCAACATTTTCTATTGCAGTTGAACATTAACAAATTAGAGGACCTAGATGCGTTTTATTTCTTTCCCGCGCGAGTTTTACAAACTTTTTTTATTCACTAGCTAATAAAAAATTCAAAGGTTGAAAAATTCTTTGAATACAAATATTGCTCAGCACAGAACTTTGTCCCATCGCGGTCGTTAACTTTTTTTTTTTTTAGCCTTTTTTCTCCTCGCCTTTTACACGTCCAGCGTATATTCGCAGTTGTTTAATCTACTCGGTGTTGTCAACGCATCTCACGTGCCGGAATAAAAAAAAAAAAACAAATAAAAAATAAATAAAATTAACTCTATTCAATTTTGTTCGGTGTTCATACTTTCAGTGCGTGTACACACGCGTGCTACCATGTAGTCGTAGTTATTTCTTGACACCTCGGGATAATATTATCGGTGCGTTTTTCTCGGTCATAAAAAATAAAAATAAAAAGAAATAATAAAAATAGAGGAAAATATGCACTCGAAAATGAATTGTTGGTATTTTTCTTTTTTTCTTATATCGCATTATTACCATAATTTTTTTTTTTTTATATATATTTCTTTTTCTGTGTTTTAGCTAACGATTGGACATCGGATTCTTTGTACCAGATATAATAACAGTGCGGTGAACACAACAACTTACTGCTAGATATGGACGTGATGACGATGACGACAACGCGCCTAAAATTGTTTAAGCAATAAAATGTTTTGTAGCTCGCAACGGCCTTAAAGTTATAACCGAGCACATTTCGTTGATTTGCGCATTTTAGATATTATACAATTTTGTTAGTAATATTAAAATTAAAATAATAATAATAATAATAATAACGATAACGATAATTATTACAATAATTTACATGGGTGGGGGGAGGAATAAACGATAAATCAATCACGCATATTCGCCCCAGTAAAAACTATTGTTGTACGCATAAAAACGTCAATAATCGTTAGTGATGGACACGCGCGGTTCAAACGCATCGAACGACCATTGTAGAAAGTTTAAGCATAAATCGCTGGACAAATAATTTATTCAGCATGGGTTTTTCACATTACGATGATACACTCACACGCATTATCTTGACGTGTTTGTCATTCACACGATATGCATTTAGTCGTTATTGTCTGCCCATTCAATCGAGTGTATTGTTTTTGTTCATTTTTGCACGGGGGAAAAATCCACATTCAACAATACGATAACAATTGATTTGGTTTTGTTTAAGTTCGTGCATCGAGTGGGCTCGATGTGCTCGGCTGAAGAGAATTGATTTTTGGATCGATCTATCGGCCGTTCGGCGTTATAAAAGCGATCTATATTGCCATACCATGTGGAGATCGCGAACGGTAGATAATAATATGTCTAATAGAACGTGCGTAAATGGTACGTTTAGAGTGGTGGGCTTAAACGCGTGTACACTGCATCGCAATCATCATACACTCTTTGACTGTTTACGTGCATCGTTATAATAATTATTATTAATAGCGTATGGTTATTTTTTTTAACAAGCAAGCGGTACAACTCAATAATTAAACAACTTAAAAAAAAAACTTAAATAATTAACAACTTAATAATTATTAACAAATAAACTTATCCCTTTGCCGACCAACGAGACTTTTAAATAGAATGTTTGAGTAAAATAATAAACCAAAGTACAATTCAATTGGTCAGAACTTATGATAAAATGATAACCTTTACGTGATGCGATGACTTTCTATAGGAGCACATCAAATAATCTCGGTCAGGTTAGAACTGCGTTCGAAACCCTGTAGATGCCATTAATAAGTTTATTGAAACACTTTTTTACTATACATTTCATTGTTTGAAATTAGTGGCACAGTAACAATAATGATATTGTTACTTGTGTATGACTTAGAGAGCGGGTTAGGTTATTCTTCAATCCGATTTGCGCGATTAATATCCGTAGTCAGTATAATATTGAACAAATATATCAAACGCACCTCCTGCATTTAGTATAGTGCATAGTGTGCTGTAGGCACCTATATATCGTACACCCGTGTTGATGTCCGAAAGACAATGACTTACCTACTAATATTATAATATGATAAAAAGTAAAAATCGTACATACATATTAATAAACTCTTGTTTCACGTTACACGAACGAACATTAATAATTAAAAATATATATATATATAATCAACTACATATAACATCTTACATCTAACTACATGTGGTACGATTTGAAATGAAATAATGTTTTCCCGAAAATTCCGAAAAATATGCACCGATCGGTTCGATCGGATGGACGGTTCGTCCATTTGTCACTGTTAAACGGAGTATCAGCGTACTACGAACATTTTTTAAATCATTCTATACACTGTACTGATTGGCCACAACCTAACCTAACCTATTCACTGTACTTTGCTTTCACCGGAGTCATTGGAAGAAAATCTTCAAATCAAATTACTTTAACGATATTGAGTCTGGTCATCAAGATTCACGGGCTTAACGAACGTCGAAAACAAATTTCTCTATGTTCTCGATTTTAAGAATTTTTCAAAAGCAATTTCATCTAAATAGTTTTTAGTCAGTGGCGTCTACTACACCTGTTTGCATATAGAAATAAATCTCGGATATCCACGTGTAGTACGACCGATCGAATTATGTCAGGGATGGCCAATTTGCGGCTCGCGAGCCACATGTGGCTCTTGTCATTGTTAGATGCGTCTGGCGCTTTATCAATTAAAATTTACTTATCATATTATTATTTTGAATTTTAAATTTATAGGTTTAAATTTATAAAATATTATCAAATTACTTAAAATTTATTTTTATTTATCTTGTATTTGACTCTTGGAATTATTATATTTATCTGTATGGCTCGTAAACCTATTCATGTTGGCCACCCCTGAATTATGTTCTCAATTCCAGTATTTTTTTATTCGTTCATTTGTTTTATTTATTGTACAACATTTACACCGTGAGACATTGCAATATAGATTTGATTAATATTAAACATACAACTACTTATTTATTTTGATAAAATTCGTGGATATCGTTCGATGGTCCTTGGAAAATGGTTAAAACACATCGGACTATTACGATACGTACCACACGACGTATCCTAAATAACACGATTTAATATTGTCACCTGTTATTATTATTATTATCATTATCGTTTATAATTATTATTATTATTAATACGCTCTGCTGTAAATATTGTTTTGTACGTTGATTTTCATGACGTGAATCGAAATGACAAAACTAACGTTGTTCCGTATGTATAATATAGAAATATTTTATAATGTTTAATCGTATACGCCTGTAATTATATATATTTATATTATATACGTATATAACATTATGTTAATTAATTTTACTTTGTACGATATGCATATTTAACTTATAAGTTTATGTAAATGTTAACGTTTAGAATAGCGGATCTTTGAAAGCCGATGATTGTGAAAGTGACGTGTAATTTTGTTTGGACGTATTTCGCGCACGTGGTCGCCTTGTTCTCCCACACCCCCGAAAATATAAAATATTTTTCAATTATATAATATAATAATCAACGAACGTGCATATCTACTAAGAACGTTTTGTACGGTCGTAACGCCGCACAGGCTCGCGAAAGTATGTATTTTTTGAAGGTGCATGTGAATATAAATATTTTGTTAGACCTCCAACCGATGCGTACATCGTTTTGCGTGTTACGTATTCATAAAAATAATTATTGTTACGGAGAAGCACAAAAAACTAATATACCATATTATACGATTTATGAAATAAAAAATAAATAATAATAATATTAAAATTACATGAATGTTGTCTGTATTGGATGTGTTGTTGTCATTGTATTCGATGTCGCTACGGTAATGACGTTTCGCATCGATCGAATCGTCGTCCGTTACTACCAACGTATCGCAGTCCGGACGCGATACGATGTCGAAAATCCTGGCATGGACTCAGATAAGGTGGTAGGAGGAGTGTATCTATGAATAATCAGAAAAAACGTTATAAAAACATGACCCGGCTTGTACGTTATTTCAGAGTTTCCCTGTAAGACTTGCAAGCATATACATAAAAACGTATGAGTTGATATGAGTATTTATCAACGATTTAAATTTTGCAAATCTTTAAACCCCATTCCCTCCTTCCTACCACCCTAAATCTTTCGTTCACCCCTGCAAAAAGCGCATAGAGATATATGCGCGAAAGCGATTATGACGACGACGAAGACGTTCCGGCGGATACGTGACCTTTTGGCGCGCACGTCCGTCGTGTAATCGTGGAGCCAAACATGAAACGACGGTGAAACACGTGAGTAAAACACGACACGTCGCGCGACATATCGTGCGAAACGCTAGTGAAGTTGCGACCGTAGGTAAGTACGAAATAATTGTATTTTCCGTTCGCTATTTTTGTATTTCTTTTTTTTACATTTTTTTCCGTTTATTTTATTTTATGGACGAAGTTGTACGGTTTTATTTTTCATGTTAATCGTTTTATTATCGTTAGTTTTTTTTCCCCGACGAGAATAATTGAAAACTGTACGGCGACGGTGATTCCCCCGACGCTCGCTCGATTCGAAAAATATCATCTCGTGACACGCTACGCTCACCGCATTAAGGGCGCACATACCGGACGGGGGATCTATCGTAGCTCGCCGTTATCGCGCCAATGGTTTTTTTCTCTCCGTCCGACTCGTCCGTCCGCGAAGTTCCCAAGTAAATAATTTGTGTTGAACATCGCACGTGTACGTGCGTCGCGTTCTTCACAAGTTATTTTCCAATTTTTCCCGTACAGATTTTTCGAATACTAATCCTTGTTCATGAGAAGAAAAAAAAATACATGTTCCGAGAACGGAATAATTGTATAAAGAATTTCGCCGGACAACATTACCGTAATAACTCTCTATACAAGAGAAAATCGATAGCTTATGTATTTTTCCAACGTTTATATTAATATATTATTAAGATAAACGTGTGATAAAATAATTTTTTTCCAACCTGTCCCCGTTCCTGTATGATACTTCGCTCTTAAGTTCTGAACTGTGCATGTTACGCAGGGGCGTTAATCATATTCGATTACTATGCACGTATTTGTTCGTTAATCAAATCATAGTGTACGTGTACAGTTCGAAGAATATCATTCACTCCTTCAGTGACGCAACCAGGAGGGGGATTCCCCGGGTCTGCACGCTCCCCTTGAACCATGTTATATCTTTTTAAAATAATGTTTGGCAAAAAAAAATTTTATTTTATTTCTATTACTTGATTTCACAATGTACCAGAAACTAGTTAAACTTGGTTTTTTCGCATTAAATGAGTATTAAAATCGTTGTATGGATAAATCTGCACGGTACACAGAATATTTTACAATGAAACTCATCTGGTAAACACCTCGCGCTGAGATTTCCATCACTCCATTACCGTATATGTTAATAATTTACGGCTATAAATAGATAAAAACTTGTTTACCTAAGTGCAACTAAAGTTTCGACCTCGGTGCTCTTCGAGAACGCTGCAGCTCACCGCTGCGGCTGGAGAAGCTATAAAACTTAGAATAATATGTTTTTGGAATATTGTGGTAAGCCAATCTACTCTAGCGGAGTACAAAAAACGCGTATAATTACGGCGAACTCTCTCAGATGCTGATTTCAAAAACTTAAAGTTATGAGTTCGTTATAAATATGATGCGGTGTAGCAAACGCATACACATAGCATACGCTCGCAAATTCCAGGAGAGAAATTCCAGGAATTTCATGTACCAAATCCGATTCCACAGCCGTTCGCTATTTCTATAAAGTTCTACAGTGCATAAAAAGGGTTGATGTATTCATCAATAATCAGTTACCTAAAGGTTATTATATCATATCATTAGTGGCGGATCCACGCTTGGGAGGTATAGGGTTAAGCCCCCCTAAAAAAAAAATCAGGAAAAATATTTATTAAAAATCAATAATTTTATGAACTATGAAAAAGATTTTTTTTTTTTTTAGTACGTGGGAAAGTATATAATCTATATTTTCATTCATACAAAAAATTAGTAGTCTTAAATTTAAATTAATATATTTATATTACTTACTATTATCTTAATTCATTATCATTTACTGACTACAATGTTATAAAAAATATCCAAGAGAAAACATTTTTCAAACCCCTCCAAAACAAAATCCTGGATCTGCCACTGCAAATCAGTAACTGCGCTACTTACTTTACACGGCCTTAAGTATTATAGAGAAACAAAATTATATCAGGGTACGTGGTTTTAAAATTATTTTGATTTTTCGAGTTGATCACAATACAATAATGTGGAAAAAAGATGTACAGTGGAGCGTCGATTTTCCGTACCACAAAAATGTTATACAAATTTGTTATTAGTTCAATTTTATTTAGTTTTATCATTTTTTATGTTAATTTTACTATGTACGTATTATGAAATACGATATTATTTTATTATCTGTTATGACTTACTTTAATGCAGTAATGAATATGTAGACATGGAAAATTTTATTGGTCTTATGCCCGGTGAAACGTTTATAGCAGTTAGGATCAACAATGGTATGAACAATAACCAACGTGTTATTCAACTAAAATTGTACTATAAAAATCAATAAAATATTTAACAGTGAAAAAAAAAGTTCATTGCAAGTGCACGTAAAAATGTATTATTATTTTAAATAAGTAAAAAAGTACATGTATGATTAGTGTGCATCACATTATATTTTTAAATTTTAATTAATTGTAATACGCACTTTCAACAATGCATGTACAATATACATATATTTATTTTTAACATATTATACTTATGGGTTATACATATAGTGCACTATTTTTACATGTTTGCCTCTTTTAAGTTTATTCTTAATCATTAGGTATTTAACTATCCGCACTCTACTCGGTCCCAATTGATGTCGATCATCGGACGTTCTATTGTATCTCTATTTTACTGTTCGAGATACTTTGAGTGAGTTTTTTTCATAGTTTAGTTTATTTATCATTTACATAAAGTAGCACGACCGACTTTTAAGTAATTTATCATGGTATATTGTCGAGAAAATAATTTTTATTGTAATTATAGATTATACATAGTTATGGAAGTAACGTTTTCTTCTTTAACTTGATTTTTTTAAGCCGTTTGCGGACATCCAAGCTGAATGCACACGTTTTTATGCCTCCGCGTTTGTTTAAAGTAGTATCGCTTAAACTTGTCGGAATTTTTCGTTCTTTATACCAATCGACGCAGTTTTTAGAGCAATTGTTGACCCCAGTGTCTACCAGCTGCCAAAACCAACCTTTATTTGTAGAAATAGATTTAAGTTTACTAAGTATAATCCTAGTGCATGATTATATAATATACCTAATTTCACTACAAGGCATCGCCGCAGCGGTGACCCTTGTCCTCGCGATTACGATAATTACGGTAATGTTAATTATAATATAATATACGCTACCCAGCGTAGTTAATCGATTCCATATTCCTAAAAACTTATCATTCAACAGTTAAATATTTAAATATGTCTAACCGTAATCAGAATAATACAAATAATACAAATGATAAAAACAAGATATCAAATGCAAATCCAAATAAACTCAAGCCACCGAAGACACTTGCTAATAGTGATAATAAACGCAACCACTCAAGCTCGTCCAATTCAGAACCATCGTCACCAAAATTACTTCAACGTGTAAGCAAAAAACTATTCGTGACTCGTAATCGGTTTGATGTATTAAAACCAACGAAACTTACAGAAAGAACTTCTGAAACTTTTGCACAGGAAAAACAGTCAATTGCTGATCCAGTTCT